TTAATATATTATAATTAATTAATTATAATGTACATATTATAATTCATGCCAATGAGATGATTACGAAGATGAATCAAATAAGAATCATCGTCTGTCATAAAAACTTATCGATGCGATTTGCTGTCCACCACTGAACAGCCGTTGCCCTTGTTGTTCTGCTTACGTCATTTGCGGATAACAAAGGCTACACCGCAGAGTAATTAAAATTTATAATATTTGGCCGTTCGAAATGGTACTTCAGACCAAATATTAGAGTTTCACTGTTCACCGCAAACAGCTCTGCCTCAACGAGGCACAAACCGTTCAACAATGTCCGCATTTTCAAAAGGCGAAACGCAGTTTCTCATGACAGAAACTGAATTTAGGCGGCGATTCTAGTAGCATCGACTGAATCAGCCAGTGTAAATGAACGGGAGTCGAAATCTGTGCACAGAGAAGCGAAATCGAGAAATAGCCGCTCATCGCCACGCAAAGAGAAAATGTTTATTTGCACCATAGCTTCGTTAAAAAAAGTTGGGTTCATCAATCACGCTACTTCGTTGTGAAGCAAGCATAGAGCAGCGGTTATCATAGACAAGTTACACTGGTATATGTAGACGAGAAATAGCTGCATCTTAAAAAAATATCAGTGTCCACCATCAGACTTTTGTAGAAAAAATCAAATAAATCAGCCTGTTTTCCACCTTTCCCGCCAATCTTTGCTGCCAACTTCTTTGAGTGGGTAAAACAGATATGAAGATACGCTAAATTTAAATTTCGTTAATATATTTTCTAAGTCTGCTATACTTTTCCGGCTGGGAGGGAACATTTTAAGTAGAACATTTATCTTGTTTACACTAAATGAAAACCACGCGATGACGACCAAAATCACGGCGAGAAAATTTGGCACCAACTCCTGGATTTCGACCAAACACAAAACGAAACATACCTTCGAGGGTGTGAAGCGTGTTGTTAGCCTCCTTCAGCGTAGAGTCGGCCAACTGAACGGCCCTGCTTGCCTTCGCCCTGGCGCTGTCGATCTCCGCTAAAAGACCGTCGGCGATCTGCTGCTGTTGCTCAGCCTTTTCCAACTCGCTTTCCATATCCTCGTTGAAACGAGCGATTTCGTTCGTCATCGGTTTGTTGTCAGCGGCCAACTTTTGGGCCTCTTCCTTCACCGCCTTTGCCTGAACATCAAAGATAAAGAATCAAAAGGGAACGAACAAATAAGAATAAATGCGACGTCACTTCTCCTGATATCAACTCGGCTTTTTTCTTGACGTTGGAGACGTCGATCGAGGGCAACTCCAGCGAGTCCACCTTATTTAGAATCTCAGCTGATTTCTGATAGACAGAGTTGCTGCGATCTGACTGTTCAAGAGCCATCTGCGCCGTCTGATTGTACAGCTTCTCAGCACTCATGTATCTATAGAAAAGGAGGCATGCCCATAAGAATGAGTGATCGACGGTCATCAAGCTACTCGGTCCTACCTCTTCTCTAGACGGCCGATTTCGCTGCTGGTCACTTCCGCGCCGTATATCGCTTCTTTGGCCTTCTGTAGTGCGGCCTTCGAAATATTCAACGCTTTCATCGCGTTTTCCTCCACCAGCAATGACTCGTTCTTTTGTCTGTAACCAAGGTACTTAAGTCTCCGCTGCCAAAATACACTTTTTATAGTCAATCATACAGCAAAATTAATGAGGCATTAATCGGTTGATTCATAACAATAGTGTTGATAAACGGCTACTAAAGTACGACCAAGTTGCTAGGCAGTTAAGACGACTACTGCATTAAGAACAATTTCTGTTTTCTATTAGTTGTCTAATGTTATGGCTTTTGTTTTTAATACACAAAACTGGCCACCATCGGGCAGGTGGATGAATGCAAAGAGACTTCACATGAACAAGAAATGGGCAAAATTCATAATCCAAAGGCACAAGCTTCAGTCGTCATTTAATTGTCAAAGGGTCGACAACATCTTGCATTATCTCAAGCCACGTCCTCAGATCATGTGCATAAATACTTAGTACCGTTCATTGCACTACGTAGTCCAAGCACTCCGATGGAACTACCACTTCTCTTTATATCGGTCTCGATCCAGCGGTCAAGCGTTGTCGACTACGTACTCGTGATAGTTCGTCACTTCTTGTCATGTCATGACCAAAATATATTTCGTTGCTTTCTTCAATATTTCACATAAGGTGAACGGTGATTGTACTCAACTCCCACTGAAGCTCAAATCCGTCTAGTAGTCGCCGAGAGTCTGTACAAGGGTCACTTGTAACACATCTCAAAAGCTTCAATGAATTTGCGTTCTGTTTCTCTGATGACCAAATTATCACATCTATAGCTTGCAACCGACCATATCAAAGATCTGTACTACACATACTATGGTACAAATGTAGTCTATCTGCAGTACAAATGAAGCGTTTTCGGCTTCATCGGTTGTAACGTGTTCAAAGATAGGCATATGTCATATTATCCCGTCTCTCGTATAAGTCGTACTACGTTGATTATAACTGAGGGCGGTAGCACAGTGGTAAGAACTCGACCTCCAATTCTGGAGGTACTAAGTTCGAATCCAGAAAAATTAAAAAAATTTTCTTAATCGTCAATATATTTAAACGGAATTCAGTGCAGTCATAAGTTACGGCTACGTCGCATGAGGCGAGCATCCCCAGTAGCCTTGATTCACCTGAGCACTAATTAACTGGTGTGGTAATCAGCACAATGTATAACCTCAGTTGGTGTGTATATACATTATGTGTCCGTCCAACGTCACACTGATCTTAGAAGGTGGGTTACACAAAAAAAACTCGATAAAACAAACCGTCACTTGAGACATAAATGATGCTACGAAGATTGCGACAAGACCCTAACCGACACTGACCATCTGCTATACTGGTTGCGAGGTGACATTTCAGGCCTAGCGGCTGCTTTCTTCCCTGATGATGCCGATAAACTCTGGCCACTGGAAGAGAGAACTTCCACCTTGTATCACACGCTGTACGATTTAGGAAGGCTTGATGCGTGACATCTTGATCTGAAGGAGGAGGCTTTATTTTCCTCTGGGATCCTTCAT